GGGCGCAGGGGTGGCTCGGTGCGCCGCATCGATCGGCGGGCGCATGCGCAGGGCCGTGCCGGCGCCTCCACGGCCGCCAGTCGAGAGTATGGCGGCGACGGACTGACAACTCAGGTGGAGCCTTCTGCAAGTCCTGTGACGTCCTGCGACGTCCTGGAGGCGTCCTGCGACGCCCTTCTGCCACGGTGTCGGGCAACGCGTCCTGCCGGCCAGGATCCCGACGTTGACGGGGCCGCGCGCGCGGGGGTGTGGTGGCGGGCGAGACGAGGCCAGGCCGCCGCGCGGAGGACAACAGCGTGCCGGCGCGCAGCAGGGCCGCCAGCAGGGCTCTCTCCAGGGCCGGCAGGAGCATCATGCCCAGCCTGGAGCTGCCGCAACTCCCGCAGCTGACGCTGCCCTCGGCGGACATCCCCTGGAACCCCGGCCTGCCCGCCTACGTCACCAACGAGCACGTCTGGAGGTGAGCGAGTGTTAGCGAGTGCAAAGTAGTGGGCTGCTGTCTCCCGGTCAGGACGGCGATGACGACGGCGAGGACGTAGGACGTGCCCTCCTAGTGCGCGACCCACTTCCCCGCGGTCCTGGGCGCAGAGTGAGCGGCGGCCATGGCTGCGCGCAGCACCACGGCCGCCCCCGGCCCAGCATCCCTCCTGGTACCCGTTGTTTTGCTGCGCCCCTCCCCCTCCCCTCGAGGGGCTCTCCCGGCGCCGGGCCGGGGCGCGCTGCGCTGCGCCGTGGGCCGTGGGGCCCGGTCGCCATGGTTACCCGCGCGCTGGCGCCCCGCGCCCCCGCGCCCCCGCGTCGGGCGCCCCGCCTCCCCCTCCGCCCTCGCGGCGCCCCTCCACCTCCAGTTCCAGGAGCTCTCCAGGACTGGAGAGGCCGGCCGGCCGGGGCCGAGCGAGGGCCGAGGTCTAAAGGGCTCCCAGTCGGTTGACAGAGTGGACGGCCGGGGCAGGGCGCTCCTCGCCACAGGCGCGAGGCGGGTGTCACAGAGACATGAGTACGTGAAGCGAGCTCGGACCTGGACTTTGCACCTCTGGAAATGCATGACGATTCGATAACCACATACGAAAATGCCATTGTTAAAAGTCAAGTCTTTACGCTAGCTCACTAAGTCATTTTTAAAGAGAGAATAACTTTAATGGAGCGAGACTTGGGAGGCACGACTGCCATGCAATGGCGACGTCAAACTGAACCTTGCGGCGAGGCAAATTTACTTGTGCTCAGCCGATCAACAGTGCAAGACACGTGGAGGATTTTGTTTACAATGCTTTCCTCAGCTGATTCGGTCGTGACGTCATGCCACGAGCATCGACCCCTCCCTCCACCCACCCCGCCGCCCGTGGCACCCACCCCTCCCTACCCTCCTGGCCGCACCCCGCTCTCCTTTCCCTCCCTCTTCCCTCCCTTACAAACCGGCTCACTATCTGCACTCGCCTTCTCCCCCCCCCCTTTCACCACTTCCGCTGTTTCGTATCCTGCACCCTTTCTCGTCGCATATTGTGTGGTAAAAGGATATTTAAAAATATTAAAATGGCCCAGGAGAAACTACTAGTGGTTATCATAGGAATAATAATCAGATGTTTGATGCGCAGACCGCGGCCTGACCTCTGTATGACAGTGTACTGCCGTGAGTGAAATAACACGCGGCAGCTGCCGTCGGCCAAGCCTGGGATGCGGGTCACACGGTTACCTTAGCCGCGCCTCCGTGTCGTAGTGTGGCGGCAACGGTCGTGTAGTCGACCTAATGACAATAAATTTTCGCTTTTAAAGGGACTTTTAGACGTTTTACAGCGAAACACCATACTACGGTTTACCTTCAAGAGCGTTAACTCTGATTTAAACGATTTAAACTGAAACCTAACCTAATCTGGCATCACGGACTCTACCCGAACCTCTCCGGAGAGAGTTGACCCGAAGTCACCCGGAGCACCAGAATCCTTAACTGAATATAACATTGATTTGATCGGAGCTTGGTTGTCTTGTCTTACCGTGATGTAAATGGTGTCATCCGCTTTCCATCACCGAAACTGTCGCGTATGCAAGACACGCACGTCCCTGTCCCACTCTGGAAACTCAAGTATCACACTTTTAAATGCAGTACCATGTAGGCCTGTTAGGGATTTGAAAGCCGAAATATCTTCCGGGAAATCATCGGAAATAGTACGATTTTTCCGGATTTTTTCCCAAGATCTCAGAAATGTTGGAAAAAATAAAAAACAATAAAAAAAATACTGGCCAAGACACATTTACTCAAACTGTGAGCATTTTACTCTAGTCACTCTAGTACAGCGTTAAGTTGGCAACCCTTCTTGTTTAGGTAAACAAGCACCCCTTTAGAAGGCTATGAGATAGGGAATGCCCCCCAAGTCGGTCTCCGCACAGTTTGGACGAGAAGATTAAGTTGAAGCAGGTCAGCAGGTGGAAGTAAAGGTTCGTATATGCTAGTTTACTATTCCTTTCCTATTTTGTATACGTTTTCCGCCGCGCTCTGCTTTTGTGACGCACGTATGTAACTTAATTCACAAATCCTTTCGCGGTAGAATGTTAGTGATTACCAAAGTGAGGTTAGGAGGTTAGGTGCCGGATAATACATATTCATCAACAAATAGTTTAATTGCTAAAATGGTATCCTACAGTTATAAGTATAGGAGCAAGGTGTACTGCAGTTATACGTGTTGGACAGCACGTGTGCGACAGTTGAAAGTGTATACCATGTATCCGACAGTAATAAGTGTAGTAGGCCTACAAAAGGGGTGTCCGTCATTGGGTTATAGCTGGCACCTTGATGTGTCGGACGCACTCCATGGTCACCTACAGTTTTAACTGCAATACAGCTTGTCCTACAAAATTATTCAATATTTACACTAGAAGTAAGTTCCCTGTTAAAAAAGTCAGGCGTGCTACGTGCATATACTCACGTGGAAAAGTGTTCGAGACAAACAGGTTAGAGTTAAAAGAAAATGTCAGGGAAACAAATATTAAACCGGTATGCACACCTTGCGAGCACAGCAGCAGCAAACTCCCATCAGCGCGCAAGAAACTGGTATACAGTGTAACCAGAAAATAAAATAAAAAGGACGACGCAGATCACCCATCTTGTAACGGGTAAACGAGTGGCTGATTTACTCCGCGCTTTTGTGTAAGTTACGCTGTACCGTGCGTACGAGCGAGTGAGCTTGCCCATCATCGTCCCTGACCATGGCGCCTTATGGCCCGATCGGGTAGGAACCCACCCTCATGGAGGAGTGCGGTACAATATAACCAGAGAAGTGCGTATAGTGAATCAGCCAACAAGGTCGACATCTATAAGGTGGTGACAGAGAACTGGCTCGACCTACAGGGTGGTCCACAGACCCCTTCCTTTATTTTGCTTATACTGTACCGCTTGCAGGCGTGCGATTTTGGAAACGACGCTCCGTAGATAGAATATTGTTGATAGGACGCGTCGAAATGCTCAAACCCAACTCCCCCTACCCGGTAAAAAAAAAGAAAAAAAAGAAATAGCTTACTCCTCACCAGGAAGGTAAATAAGATCTACTGGACAGTACCCTGATTTTTTTGTATGATTTTTTAAAATTGATTTAGT